TTCTCAAGTGACTCCTACCTTTGTCTCAGATAGTTATTTCTAGACGTTTCCCCACCACTGAAGATAAATCAATTAGTCTGTGGTTTCTGGACTTTACTTTACACCCTCTTCTGAATTCACATGTAACATTTCCAAGTCTCCAGCCTTCTGACAACATCCCTGAGTCTAAGGAAGAGAGGAAAACTGCCACATTTTTCATTCACAATCCTTCAGTATCCTTGAATATGTCTTGTCTGGTCTTTGTGCCTGATTGACATTAAATACAGTCTTCCACCATGACTTAGTCAGCATCTTATACTTGGTACAGGCAATTGCAAAGTATTCACTTCAGGTATGCCCCCTGCTTCTACAGGTGCATCCCCCTTTATGTAACTGAATTGCCTCACACATCATTTAACCACTCTAATGCCAACAGAAGCTGTGTCATCTATTAGGCTAAAATGATGGACTGCATCCAGTGTGCATGCCACTCCTGCACTGAACATCATCTGTTGAGACTGATTTGTGAGTTGCAGTCCCTTCTGCAGTTGGCTCAGTTCAAAAGTGTAGCTCAAAGTCAACTGATGTTTTTCTAAGGCAGGCTACTTTGTCCAACATCTGGTCATTTATTTTAACATCTGTTTTTCCCACATCCTTCCTGGCCTGCACTCCAGTTAGCAGTGAGCATATCACATGCATTAATTTTGTGTCCAATCAACTTGAAAGCTCGCTTGCAAGCAGATCTCCTTAGGTCATAGATGTGGGTGACCTATCGTTCTTGCATTGATCATAAGCTCACCAAAAAACCATGTTTTTGGATTCTGGACTTTGGTTAGGTTGCTGCTGGTCTACATCTCCCTTCTCAACTTTGACGTGAGAGCTGCCACCTGAACAATCCTGGTGCTGATTTCAGCATTAAAGGACTGTTTCTTGTAATTGTTGATGCAAGATATGTGAAACTGTCATTGACCTTCAGAGTGAGGTTGTCAATTTTCATAGAAGGTGCAGGCTCTATGTCCCGACTCTCAACTTTGGTCTTTCGGGCCCCAACTGTCAGTCCAAACCCCTTTCTCATGCCTCTAGAAGAATTTGGAATTCCCTTTTATGTTAGCTGCCAGTCTGTTTTCATATCTCTCTTAGCTTCTGTTGTTTGTTTTTTCCATTTCCCTCTAAATGCTCTATATTCAGCATGTTTCTTGATTGTAGTACCACCTGGCACCTGTCATCAGCACACTTTGTCTTCTTCACCACATTCAGAACTTTTGATTTTAAAACCCTGTCTTTGCCCTTTGAGGGCAAATAGTTTGACTATTCCTGAGCTCTCTCCCACTTAAAGGTAGCTCATTGCTCAGTTATCATTTTCAGTGCCAACCTTAAATTCCAATTTATCTGTCTGACCGCAGTTGTTCTTAGCCCCCTGAAGCTGTGTTTCCCCTTTTCATTATTCTAGATTGTGATCTGATTCACAAAGGTTTCCTATCAGATTCCATGACCTTTTCCATAGCCAATATAAACAAATGTAGCATAACTTTAAAAGATAAAAGAAAAAGACGCATTATCCACATAAATTCTAATGAACCATAATAGTTAATAACAATGGAAAGTATGAAGATAATGATCTTAGAGAGCATTATGACACACTGGCAAGCTGGAACTCTTCTGTTCTCTCCATGTTTGCTAAATGATTCCAACATTCCTGTTATTGTTGTTGTTTCTATGCCCTTTGGAAGAATCTGAGACTAACGCAGCAATGTATAATCTAGTAAATTGTAGCTTACTGTGAGCAAGGTATTCTATTTGCAATATTTCAATTGCAACTGTAGATTGAAAGGAATCTATCATATTCCTTAATAAAAACCAAAAGAACTGTGAATGCTGTAAATCAGGAACAAAAACAAAGTTGTTGGAAAAGCTCAGCAGGTCTGGCAACATCTGTGGAGGAGAAAACAGAGTTAATGTTTCGGGTCCAGTTCTGAGGAAGGGTCACTGGACCCGAAACGTTAACTCTGTTTTCTCCTCCAAAGATGTTGCCAGATCTGCTGAGCTTATCCAGCAACTTTGTTTTTGTTCCTATCATATTCTTTAGTGTGCTATAAACTGCAGACAAGGAAAATCTCCCAGCAAACCCTTTCCCCCACTCTTGTACTGGATCTATTAGAACTTCAATTGTAAAAAGACAATATAAATTAAAGAATATTAATCAATAACGTAAAACAAAGAACGCTGGATGCAGCAGATTGAAATGAAAACAAAAATTGCTGGCGAAACTCAAAAAGTCTGGACGCATCTGTGGGAAGAAAGCAGAGTTAACACTCCGAGTCCAGTGACTCTTCATCAGAACTGGTGTTTCAGATCAGTGTCCTGATGAAGATTCACCGGACTCGAAATGTTAACTCTGCTTTCTTCCAACAAATGCTGCCAGACCTGCTGAGTTGCTCGAGCAATTTCTATTTTAATTAGTATTACACTGTTTTGATCGATATACCTGACAATAATTATTCCCTGCCATTTTCACAGGAAGTAAGGTAAACTAAGAACAGGAGTGCAACAAAAACAGGCTTTCAGCCTCACCCACCTCCACCAACAATCTTTACTTGCTGCTTTCGGGATTATTGAAAATTTTAACAACCTTGTTGCCTCCCAACTCTGAGCACTGGTTTCACATATTCACACTGCATTTGAAATGTACAAAAACACTTTTTGAACATTTAGAAAGAAAGGGTGATTTCTTGAGGGTGGACATGTGAAATGACCAAAAAGGAACACAAAGAACTCCATAAAGGGAGACTGGGCAAACTAGACCAGAATTCTCTAGAGTTTTGATGAATGACTGACAATGTGATTGAAATCTACTTCAAAATACTTAAGATGGTTAGACAGGGTAGATGCATATATTTCCCTTGGTTGAGGACTATATGAAAATAAAGGGAATGCCATTTTGGACTGAGATGAGGAGAAACATTTTTACTCAGAGTTTGAATCTTTGGAGTTCCCTTCTCCAGACATCTGTGAAACTCAATCTTAGAATATATTTAAAGTAGACGTTGATATATTTCTGATTACAAATGACATACAGGATTATGTGGATATTGTGGCTAAACGGAGTTAAATTGTTCAATCAGCCATGATTGTTATAAAGCTCAGAGCAGTCTTGATGGCCTACTCCTATTCTGGTGTTTTCCCAAGGGCAGAGAAGTTCAAAATTAGGGATGCATATTTTTAAGATGAAAGGAGAAAGACCTGAGGAGCAACTCTTTCACAGAGAGGGTGGTTCGTTTATGGAATGAACTGCCAGAGATAGTGATCGATGCAGGTACAGTTACATTTAAAAGACAGTTGGACAGGTACATGAATAGAAGACATTTAGAGGATTATGAGCCAAATGCAGCCAAGCGGAACCGGCATTAGTTTGGGAAACTTGGTCAGCGTGGACTAGTTCGACCAAAGGGTCTGTTTCTGTGCTGTATGACTCTATGACTCTATAACTGTGGATGCTGGAAATCAGAAACAAAAATAAGAATTGCTGGGAAATCTCAACATGTTTGGCAGCATCTATGCAAAGAAAGCAGAGTTAACATTTTGGGTGCAGTGAGTGTGAGCAAACTAAGAAATACAAATCAAGCTAAGAAATACAGAAATGTACAGCAGGCCACTCAGCATCAATAACATTAAACACAAATAATGATTGTTGTGGCCTCTCACTGGATTGATGAGAGTCACAGGTAAAATATCAACTCATCAGGTTGTCATGTATAACAATAAACCTCCTCTTCACTTTAGGAATTACAGTTCACATCTTAGATTTCCATTATTCCTGTTTGTTTTTTTTATCATTGCTAATCAAGTGAACTTGATGGTTTACTTCCTTTTTCATTTTTTCCCTTTACTCCATTTGACATATCATTAGCTTTTCTACCTAACTCAGACCTTCCTGGTGTTAGATCCTAATCATTAAGTTGTAAAATGTGCCACCCGAAGGTTGCAGGAACAGCAACTCATATTCCGCTTGGGAACCCTGCAGCCCAATGGTATCAATGTGGATTTCACAAGTTTCAAAATCTCCCCTCCCCCCACCGCATCCCAAAACCAGTCCAACTCGTCCCTGCCTCCCTAACCTGTTCTTCCTCCCACCTATCCCCTCCTCCCACCCCAAGCCGCACCTCCATCTCCTACCGACCAACCTCATCCCGCCCCCTTGACCTGTCCGTCCTCCCTGGACTGACCTATCCCCTTCCTAACTCCCTACCTACACTCACCTTTCCTGGCCCCATCCCCGCCTCTTTGACCTGTTTGTTTCTGCTCCACCTATCCTCTCCTCTATCCCTCTTCTATCCGCCTCCCACTCTCTCCCTATTTATTTCAAAACCCCCTTCCCCTCCCCCTTTTCTGATGAAGGGTCTAGGCCCAAAACATCAGCCTCTCTGCTCCTATGATGCTGCTTGGCCTGCTGTGTTCATCCAGCCCTGCACCTTGTTGTCTCGGATTCTCCAGCATCTGCAGTTCCTACTATCTCAGTACTTCTCTGCTGGCTCCAAACCAGAGTAACACAGCCAGAGGCATTTTTATATCAATAAACTTGAAGTATTTTGCCTTTTGAATTAAGTTTCCATCTAAAGCTGCATAGAAAATTCGCAGCATGCAGTTTGTAGCACGAAACATGTAACAAACTAAACCAACTGATTTGATTGCACAAAATGCCAATACTCTACAAAAAAATTGATTATCAAAAACTGTAATACAATGCTACTTAAATGTACCTTTAAAAACAATGTGCCTTTGTTAAAACACCTAAACATTTAAAAATATTATTTCAGAATTCCAACTTTTCTAGAAATATCAACAATCAACCAAAGATAAAAGGACTCTGATAACTAATATTTCTGCTTACTCCACAATTCACATCCTTAAAGCACTGCCTGTAATAGATTTACAATCATCATCACTGGACAACAGTGCCACTACGTAAATAGTGTGACTGAAAGGAGTAGATCAGGCTGAATACTTTAGAGCAAGTATCTCACCTTCTGATTTCCCAAAGCCTGTCCATCATCTACAGAGCACAAGTTGAGAGGACTGTGATGAATACCCTCCATTCAAACTGGATCCGTACAAGTGCAAAACTCAAGAAACTTGAGAAGGACAAAGCAATTTGTTTAAATGAGAACCCATCTGTACTGATTGGAACCAGGTGGATCTTATTGGCTACGAGATCCTTGATTGGGTTGTTAACATGGGCCAATCAGGGAGCCCTGGCTGCAGATATAAACAGGGATTCAGAATCTCCTCATTTCAGGGACTGACTCCAAGCTGGCTGTGCACATGTAAATAAAGGGTGACTTGGTGATGGGATACTGGCCCCTGCACACAGATTTCACCATCCAAGATCTTAACATTCTAAACATTCGCTCCCTAAAATACAAATGTACACTGGCAGCAAGTACTTTCAACAGCACCTACAAAGCCTGTCAACTCTATCACCTAGAAGGACAAGGGCAGCAGATAGTCGACGTGTTGGAGAGGTCATTCTAGTCTTCCCCTGTCTGGCTAGAACTGATACTTAACACTCCGAACATTCACTTATCCACTTTAATTCTGAGGGCCAACAGCTTAACCTCTGTCAAATAGTAGCTTCAGTAGTTCTGACCAGTGCCCACAGGATATGTATCCAAAGTATCACCTCCATCCTATCTATTAGTTTGGAACAGGTCAGGTTTTTGATTTATCTTTCATTGGGTGACATTCATTAACTCATGCCATATCCTTGCATAGGTGAGTGGGTATAACCACAAGATTTTCTGATAGCGCCAACTATATTGCCATGACCTTTATGTTACCTTGGATCTTGACTGCAAGAAAATCTGTGTTTTTCCACAGAGAGAGAGAAAACAGCTTCTTTGTCAAGTGGTCTGTTGTATTTCCTACTAACTCCCTAAGAATTGTCTGAATTTCTAAGAAATACCATTGGAACTTTGGACCATATTGCTGCTCCTTCACTAGCAGTATGACAAAATCTTGCAACTCCCTCCCTAAGAGCACTGTGGGTGCAATGCACCACATGGACTGCTGCAGTCCAAGGAGGTGGCCCATTTCCTTTTTAAGGGCAATTCAGGATAGGCAATAAATGCTTGCCTTGCAAGCAAGATCATATCTTATTCAAGTGATGAAACAGCAGAAGTGCAGAAAACAAATGAATAATCACCCTATAGTAAAACAAGTCTAAAATTGTTTTACTCCTTTATTTTCCTTTAAGATTTCAAAGCAGATAATCAAGTTGAGACCGTTAATAAATCAGTTCATTGATGTAGACTCATGGTCAAAATTCTCCCCACTTGAAGAGTTTAAAATTTCAGCTACACTGAAAATGAAAATGACCAAACAAATTAAAACAGAATGTCAAATCACTATAGATAGTCCCATTAAACTACACTGTGTCTGGCACTGAAGAGTTACTGGGAACAGGTTTCAGATATGAACTTTGGGATGTGCCGATTGAAAATTACAGAAATACATATTCAAACTGTCCATTGTCAGCTACATTTCATTTTCATTTTGTTTCATTTCATTTTAAGGCTCTGTGGTATAGGTATCATATTCCCACATAGTCACACCAATTCAAAGTCTCAATGTTAGCCTGGAAAATTGTGAAGTCAGTTAAAATCTACATGAGCTGGCCATTACTGTGGGGAACATTAGCTCACAGTGGTTTCCATCAGGTAATACAAACTTACAGGGCAATGTTACACATCACTGGCAGATTGCGGTCACAGTAATCTTACCTAGTTTATTCTGGAACTGACTGCTTGGATAAAGATTATCATACAATCCTTATGCCTACACATGCAATGAAGTTATTGTGATATACTACAACATTTTATGGGAGGGAAAAAATGTGGAGCTTCCAGGGTAGGGGAGGTTGAAACTTCCTCATGGACTTGGAGAAGTTTAAAATGAGCGACAAAATCCTCCTCCCCACTACTTGGTGTCAGGGCCATTCCTGCAAACATCACAGTGAAGAACAAGAACCCATGCTTGTTCTTGGACATCACCATCAGAGGCAACGCCCTGGGCCACATTGAGATTGACCTCTTTGCTAATGCAGTCCCAAAAACTTGTAGAAAATTTCTATGCACTGGTAAATAAGGGTTTGGTGACAAGAGCTCGACATTCCACAGAATCATTCCTTGTGCCAGGATGGTGACTTCACAAAACACAAGGGCACAAGTGAGAAGTTTATCTATGTTCATCTGCCAATGAGAATTTCCAATTGAAACACACAAGACCTGGTATCCTTCCTGTGGCCAATGCCGGGCCAAATACAAATGGATCCTAATTCTTTATACCTACTGCTAAAACTCATTAGTTGGATGGAAAGCATGTTGTATTTGGTAAAGTTATAAATGGCTTGGATATTGTGAAGAAGATGGAGGAATATGGCAGCGGCAACAGCAAACCTAGCAATATTGTCAGTATTGTTAATTGTGCCCAAATGAATAGAATTGTGCAATTTAAATAAAACTTGATTACTTGAAACTCCAAATAAAAGGGACAAAATTTTTTGGAGCTAGCACATATTTTTACACAATTAATTCAAGAGAAACAGAGAACTTTTTAAAAAAGTATAGATTTATGCAGACAAAAACAGCTGCACTGATATGATAAGCCAGATAATCTATGTGTAACATTTTTTGAATCTGTACAGATGATCAGTCAAAAAGTTTAGAAAGTTTGATCAGAATCATTACTTTTTCTTGGATGATTCTAGCACGAATATCATTGGGACGGGGGATTAAAAACATAGGA